CGTTGGGCGTGTGCTGGTCGTGCGGAAGGAATCTGGAGACGGCATATCACTGTATCACCACAATATCACTACCCCTCTAGCCCGCACCGTGCAATTCTGTCTGGCGAAAGTGGTACGTTACTGTAGCTGCAACCAATTCACCTCACACATGGCAAGGACCGGTCCATGTAGGTGAGTGCGCAGTTTGTCTTCAGCGCTGGGTTACGGTGTTCCCAGTGCACGAGTACCATACGTCAACTCACGTAACGCAATTTAGTATTGCAGGAACTATCCTCGAACAAACGAAAGTGCAAAAAAGTGTGCAAGGGTGATGAAACATGACGTCAGGCCAAAGCTCACTTCGAAAAACGGACACCCAATCGTGCAAAAAATTTCGCTAAACAAGCCACTAATTTTGCCTCCATTTCCTGGGGTTGGAACGGATCTGCACCACAGTAGGTGTGGCTCTCTCACCTGATCAAATAGCTTTATAAGCACAGAACGAGTGATGACTAACGCTGTTTATAGCTTCGGCTGTGATGGTTACAGAAGTACCTTCTTTTGGAGCTGCTAACTTTGCGAGCGTAAGGGGGTGATCAAAAGGATTCCAAGAAAATAAAAGAATCAAAAACATCGAAAAAGTTACTAACTTTAAAATAGCCGAAATCATCGAACTTTAAGGTAGGCCCACTGCGAGCTCCTTCCTCATTAGGGCCTGAACGGAATGTCTTCACCAACCCATTACGGTGATTCTGGTTCTAAGCATAAAGTTCTGGTGCTTCCACTGAGGTTTTCACCGCCTCTTTTTTGGTGTGAGATATCAGTATCCCTACCACTAATGACGACTTGTCTTAGGTCATGCGACCAAACCTCAGAAGGATTCATTCCCCTTGATCAGGATCGTATCCATCGAAAGGACTTCCGACTCAGCGGACTCAAGCTCTGAATGACCCTTCCAATGGTTCAATGAATAGTGGGAAGGCGGGGGGAGGGCAACGGGCAAGGGAAGCAAATTGAAAAACAGCTGAGTCTACATTAATCTTTTCAAAAAGGACGTGTACTCTTAGCGCACAACGGTCGGCACACTTTTCAGTGATAAACAAGGAAGTACACAGGGATACGACCTGCATAAATTATTATAGAAAAGTCCATACGGGCTTGAGGTCACCTAATCCAAAGAACTAGTATGAAGGGATTAGGGCTATATAAGGGGTTGAGCTGTGAAGGTTGTCACAACATGCCTTTTCCTTCTGTAGGCTCCCAGTGGGTGTTGTTCCGGAGAGCTACGTTGCGGCGATGCACACAAACTATTAGATTGTCCGGAAAGTTCTCAGCGTTTTGTGCACCTATTTTTTTGCATATTCACTGCTGATTAA